TATCGTATTACCATCTCTGTGTATGAGATACATGGATTTCGCGCGGAATCTAGGTGAATATGAATGTTGAATAATAGCGACGTACCGTTGCATTAGCTCGACGAGGCGTCATTACAGTCTTTCTACGTCGCCGCGGAACAACCGGTCGTCGGGGATGATAGAGGGCAAGGGTGCTTCCTCAAAATGCGTTACTGCCGTCTCTCGATTGTACCCCCCTGTCCGGGAACCCCGGGGGTAAGTGGGGGGAGGGGGGGGGGGGAGCCTCCTGCGAGTCGACGGGAGTCTGACCCCGGATCACGAGTTACGAATAATAGCCCTGCGCGGGAATCGTCTATCCCCGGGGATGCATCGATCTTGCGCCTACTACTACTCCCTGATTGGCGCGTATCCTTATAAGTCGCATGCCAATATCCCACGGACCAGGAACTCATTATCCCGCGTCCGCCTCAAATCGCCCACGTCCAAAACACATTACACCCAACGTGCGCGGCGTCGTGTGAAAGGGTCGGAGGCCAGAGACAAAGTTCCTATCGACATGACCCTTCTTCCCTTTCTCATACTGTTCTCATAGCACGCTTCCCACGTCTTCACTTTCCCAATAATCCTCGTGATTTGTGGCGCGTTATTCGTTAAAATAAACATGTCCGTGTTTCGGCCGCGTGCAGGCCATTCGTGATGTGGCGTATATTTCATAATTTGCGCGCAATTTGAGAATCGATTTATAAACGTTCAAATAAACGCCGGTTGAACTTCTCCGTCGAAAGGTTAAGCGCCGAAGACTTCAATACAATTACAATATAATGTAATAACATAGTAACGTGGACGGCGGAGGTAAACGAATATTGCTGCATTTTGCTTTTATGTGGCGCGTAGCGTTGCGACAACGTTGATGACGTCGATATTGTGTCTATTTCTTGAAGCGGACAGGAAAGTCGCGATATTGTGAACTGTTTGTCTGTTCTTACGCGAAAATTGTATTCTCGTCAGAATGTAGAAGAAGGGAATTGTGAACTTATGGGAAACGGATGGTGTCCTGTGCGAGCATTTCGCTTTCCTGATGAAATTTCTCCGCCACGAATAGCAACCAGCAGTTCACAATAGATTTCTGTATCTACTCTAGCCGTGTAATTTCATTCCGGCGGGAATCATTTACTGTCCACGGAACCTCTCGCAACGGAGAGGCATTACGTAGAATGATCGTTAAAGGTCTATCATTCCACGGTGAACAATCTCAAAGGCTCGCGAATGGGCACTTCATCCTTTATCAAGCCAGTGATCGATCTCATTTTCTCTCAATTTCACATCCCGGGTTGTAATGCACTCGCATACACGCACGTGCAGCGCAATATTGTTCTCTTTCGATAAGATTGCCGTACAAATATCTGAGTGTAGTCGAACGAATAAAAATCATTTTCTCACATCGCGCTTATTTATCGAGGAAAAGATCGTGAAATTGTTGTATAGCTTCTCGTTGAATGTTGCAAAAAATGGAAATTGCCTTCTGATATTTAGCAGTTGGACTTGAAACAATGTGCAATCAATTTTCCATTATTCCACGCATGAAAAATATATTGACAACAAATTTTAACTTTCAACAAACAATAGCAGCAATAATTTTAATTAATATAGATACATTTTTAACTTTAGATATAATAGCTTTCAGTAATAAATAGAAAGATTTATATCGCTGGAGTAATGAAACGAGCGAATAAATCCCCTTTAAAAAATTGATTTACGCTTCAGTTTTATTCACGAATGATTGATAGAGTTTCTTTCGATATTTACCCGAACGATCAGTTCCGGCCTTGGATACGGATTGGGCAGACCATCGACAGATCTCGAAGAGGATTGCTGCGGCGGGCAGAACAGAACGCGATCGAACGGAATTCCTCAATTTTACGCTCAACTGCGGAATCGTGGTCGTTACGCATTTCTGCTTGAGAATAATACTCACGTAGTGGTATCGCACTCAGTCCAGCACTTACTCCGTTCGCACCCCACGAATAAAGAGCACAGTTATGCGCAATGAATGTCTCGGCGCGGGATGAAATACGTCCGGTTGTCCGACTCGCGCGAGTTTCTTTCTCTCTCTCTCTCTC